AGTCTCCTGTGAGGGGTAGACTGATGACCCAAGGCTGCGAAGGAATATCAATGCGCATTTTAAATCACTCTGATCAAAGGTCGTCCGGCCATCAGTGCCAGGGATTCTGGCTTCCCATGAAGCCTTCCTCGAGCGTTCGCTCCTCAAGGTTGCGAATGAAGTCTCGGTTTCCTCTTCCTCCTCCTTGCTGTGCACGGCTTCCACGTCTACCAGCCCGATTAGCCGCGTTGTCCATGCCCGCCATACCGCTATCAGCACCAGGGGGGTAGTAGGCAGGGCTAGGCTGCAAACGAATCGGCTGGCTTGGGTCAAGGTGACTAGCCACGCGCTGAATGGCGGCCGGAATACCACTTTGCTGCTGCTCCATGGTTGAGGCACGTTGGCGTGCGGGCCGCATGCCCTGCTGAGGATACAGGCCAGGCTGCTGGGAAGCATTACCATACGGCCCAGGAGGCATCTGCGCTGGTTGTTGAGGCATGACCATTTGTCCATATGCACCTTGCTGCTGGGCTCCGTAGGGCGGCGGCTGAGCTGCATGACTGTTGCTAGGAGAGTACATTTGTTGATTATTGTACATGGGCGCTTGCTGGGGGTGTGCGGGTTGTTGATATTGAGCAGCCATCTGGGCGTAAGCTCCCTGTGCAGCAGAGTTCGCCTGAGCCTGAGCGGCTTGTGCCCTCTGCTTGCTCAGTGCTTCGGCTTGCTGCTGTTGCTGGGTGCCTGGTGCCGGAGACCGATTCAGAGAGCTCGACTTCAAATTCATGGGCGGCACGAAAGGACCAGTGAACTTCTGCTGGGTGATGAATGGGTGGAGCTTGGCCTGTTGGGGGGACCAACGTTCCAGCGGGTTGATGTTGAGAAGACCCCGGACGAAATCGATAAAGGCGATTCTGTTATTCATTTCTACAAGCTGCGTTAGTATTTGTCCGCAAGGGTGATGTAAGAACGTGGAATCTTACCTCTGTCGATCTCGCTCTGCTTCATGTTTTTGCGTGGCATAGGGTACGACTTGATGATCTCTGGCAAAGTGTTTGCCTGGAAGTACTTCTTGCTGGGCTGCTCCTTGGTCGAGTGCTCCCGAGCGTACTGCTCCATGCTCTTCAACTGGTACGTTCGTCGTCCAAACTCGTCTTGCCTCTTCTCAAAGAACTCGCCGGCTTGCTTGCCCATCTCGATCATCCAATTTTGAGGGTTGCCGAGCATGTCAACAATGCGCGAGACTTGGTTGTACTCGGACGATCCAGGGAACAAGGGCAGGCCGAGGAATAGTTCCACTACAATACAACCGAGCGACCACATGTCGATGGCCGACGAATAGGGCAAGCCCAGCAGGACTTCGGGAGACCTGTAAAATCTGGACTGGATGTACGTGTAGACTGTCTGCCGTTCGTCGCATGCCGAACCAAAATCGATAATCTTGATGATGGGGCTTTCAAGGTTCTTGAGAAGGATGTTCTCCGGCTTCAGATCGCAATGAATCAGCCGTGCCTTGTTCAAGAGGGCCAAGCCATTGAGAAGTTGCTGAGCGAAAACGCGGACGAGAGTCGTGCTTAGACCTCGGAACTGGTTTTGCTTAATCAACTCGTACAGGTTGACACTGAGTAGCTCGAAGACCAGGCACAAATGTTGCCGGTGGATGAAGGTGTCTTTGAGTCGCAAAAGGTGGTGGTCGTCGTTCTTATCGAGCTTGGTGTTGAGCTAAGGGGCTATGGTCAGCAATTTGTTGTCTATATCGAGCAAGAGAAATGCCGTACCAAGTCCAGAACAGAGACCTCCATCATACTCTGGTTGAAGTAGGCCGTGCGATTTTTGATGACCTTGACGGCAACAACTTCCTGGGTCTTGAGGTTTTGACATTTGACAACTTGGCCAAAGGTACCCTGGCCCAGAACGTCAAGAATAAGGTATCGGTTCCTACATCGCAAGTCAGCTCGAATATTCGGCTGAAGGGGGCCAAGACAGAGCGGCATCAGAGCCTGAACATACTTGTGGCCGGCTTCCTCTGAGCCCAGAATATCGTTCACGTAGAGGATGTAGTCGCTGTCTTCGTTGTCATATCCATCATTCTTGACACCCTTGCTCGGCTTGGTGAGTACTCGGCGGGGGTTTCGCGATGACTCGTATTTGAAGTTCGGGTTGCATATCCTGTACGTAGCAGGCAGATGCACCGTGAGCGCTTGGAGAGGCTGGAAAATGTAAGTAGGCTGCGATTATCTAGAATGACCAGCCAGGAAAGTGGGCTTACGCTAATGAATCCTCCTTCGGGGTTCGCACGGCGGAATGGAGGCTGAGAATTGACCTTGGGTCGAAGATCCGTCGGGGCTCTGATTTGTTTAAACTCGGGCGCAGGTCCTCGAACCATGGCCTGCGGGATAGGGCGACGTGGTGACTTGGGGTCGTTTGCAAAGGCACCGTCAATGTTGGCAACGACAGCGGACGGATAGCCGTCGTGGGAGGAGCCATAGGGCGCGATCGGAGGAAGCTGCGGGGCTTGTTGACGGCCACCATAATGAGGACTATGGGGCATGTAATCGGGCTGCCTTGTCGGAGACTGTCGATGGCCCGGAGGCGACGAGAACTGACTTTGCGCCGACTTTGGCGCGTAAGGCGAGGTGGGGGATAGTGCCTCCATTGGCGAGTACCGTTGGGCAGCAGCCGAGGGTTCCTGAGGAGAGTAGAGAGTGGATGAGCGGCTGCCCGAGAGGTGAGACTGGTGATGGGGTCTCATGGGGTATTTCATGCCGGCGTACGAGTCCTGAACGTCGTGCATGGGGATGTCGCCGTTGTTGTCGCGCATCTGGGGGGTGGACATGGGCGAAGCGGCGGCGCTGGCAGCGTGAGAGGATATGCCGCCAGGGCTTTGATACTGGTCGTGCCTGTAGCCGGCAGGCTGGCCTTGCGGACCGGGTTGACCATTGTACTCTCCACGAGGCATCTGAGCGCCGCTGCCATTGTATCTCCTCGCAGAGCCGGCCGAATCGGCGTAGCCCTGCTGCCACTGGGAGTCCATGGCGGGCGGAGAAGCGATGTTGACTCGAAAGAGGAAATGATGCAGTCGGTCGGGATCGGGATGAGCTGCCAAACGGACGGTTGGATGGTGGAGGTTGAAAGTTGGAAGGGGGAAAGGGCTGGCCGAGCGCTTTAGCTGATGTCGTCGGTGGTTTCGACTGGACGCGTTAAGCGGGCGAATGGGGCCAGGCTGGACTGGGCGTACTAAGGTTGAAAGGCAAATTGCAGGAGCGAGCGCAGACTCGCAGGCAGAGCAAAGCCAAGGGAGGTGAGTGAGGTAAGATTGGCAGTGAGTGTCGAAGGGTCGACCGGGTGTGTGGGCTGCGTTGCTCGTGTCTGATGCGGCGCCGGTAATGTCGCGGTTGGGTGAGGACGAGGATGGGAAGGGTAAGGTACCTTGCGTGAGAGGTGGTCAGGTAAGGTATGGCCGCCGTCCAGTACGAATAGGTAGGTAGTGGAAGTGGAAGTAGTGTGTGTGGACTGGCTCAGAGTCTGTCTGGCAAATGCAGAGCGCAGAGTGCAGAGTGCAGATTGCAGACCAAGGACCAAGGCGCGCAGAGGGAATTGACTGGAGGGATGCAGTCGAGCTCTGTGAGGGTGCCAAGGAGAGGGATTCGGCAGAATTGGGCTGACACGGCCCAAACTCTCTTGGTGTGAATAGAGTTCGGAGGGGAAGTTTTGGGTGGTTATCCCTAAGAATTCATCATGACAATTAAAAGACGGGCGCAAGAAGGCTGCAATGGACTAATTCAAAGACGGGGCCTTTGGACGTTAACAACAAGTATTTGGTGTGTGTTGTTTTCCACGGAACGTGCAAGCTAAGGTAATCGGGCGGGAAAAGAGGGCGATTGTATGTACGGATACGCAACCTGTGAAGCAGGAAGGAGGGGGGCGGAGGGGAAGGAGTGTCTGGACGGGAGAGGATGCGCGCGACTGACGGGGGGTGGAGGAGGGGAGGGGATTTGGGATGGCCTGGTGGAGCTGGGAGGTATAAGTGGGAGAGGATGCGAGTGTTCCGCGGGCCACGATGGTCGCTTGCGACGCAGGCCTGAGATGGTCGGGCAGGGAAACAGAGCAGACCTCCACTGAATGAGCCTACGTTACCTAGTGCCTCCTCCGTACTTAACGCAGCAAGTGGCAGAAGGCGCAACTTGACGCAAAGCCGGGGGGCTTGATGAGGTGGGCTTTTGGAGCCTTTGGGGAGAGGGGGACAAGGTTCCTCGAGAAACTACTTCTCAGATAGGCACGCAAGGTACCTAAAGCAGGCAAAGTACCTCACCTCAGCAATGGGGACCCATGGGTCTAAGGTACCTTAGGCTGTACGGATAGACAGAACCTTGCCTTTGAATCAAATGGCCCTGAAGTGAGTGCCCTGCGGTATCTGCCCGTAGAGCACCATCGACAAGAATAAACACTAGGCAGTAATAATAACAAGTACATAGAAACCAGAGGTAGGGCTGTGCAAGGCAGGACAACATACCTAGCTTACTAGTAATCCGAAAAGCAATTACCTTTTCCCAGCACACACAAAACATACACACAACCACGCACGTACACATACCATGGATCAAGGTACCTTACCTGGACTGAGGGTAAAGCCAAGATCGAGGGGCAAAGAAACGCTTCGAGACACGGAGAGGCGCTGGCTGTTGTACACCAATGCCAACGGACGGGAACAGACCTGTCCCCCGTCTCACATGGCCTCCACCTAAGCCTGAAGTATCACCTCGAGGTAGTAGTTACCAAGGCAAGATCAGTAGAGGCCGGCTTGAAGAGGCATGTCCGTATGACAATGACGGGAGCGACGTTGGTGGCCGAGTGAAGCAAGGCGATGTAAGAATAGGATCAAGCCTCCTGCACGCTGGTATAATATTGTTCTGTTGAAACCATTTTTCCTCGTCTTCTTCTCAAATGGTGGCCGAAAGAAAGGTATCAAACAGTGAAAATGGTTGAAGGAGACATTGGGGGCGAGGATCAATAGCAACCACAAAATGACCAATCAGAGGCTGAAGACCCGGCAGGGCACCCAGGCAAAAGTACGTCAGGTTGGCATTGGGTTCGGGTTTCCAGACCTGACAGGCCAAGCACCAAGGTTGGCCGGTGCACACTGCGGCGAAGTACGTAGTACGAAGTACGGCGGTGGAGAGCAGGGCAGAAAGACAAAGATGCTGTTTGACATATGTTCAACACATGCCTCACCACCACCTACCTGCGTCACCACCACCTCCCATACCTGTGTTTTGTGTTGCCCAATTTTATCTCACTCGCGAAATGGGGCCCAAGCAAGCGATGCAATGAGTACTTGGGTATGCTGACACTCACAGACCAACGGTCATGGCCGGTGACGAGAGACGAAAACGGTCTTGTGTCGAGCTGACCAGAACATGTGGAGAGAAAGAGGCTGGAGGCTGGAGTCACTCAGCAAAGCACCATGGAATGGATCCGTAACAATGCCCCCAAGCTCACCCAGTGGCTGCAAGTCTGCGGCCTGACGACGATAGCAAAGACGATACGATGGGGCCATAAAACGTGACGGAAATCATGGATTCCACGGATTCCCCAACAGACCCTCCAGGCTGATGCTGTGAGCCTTGAGCACCTCAGTGAGTGCAAGTGGAAGTTGCACAGTAGGCACCAAAGAAGGACCATTCAATTGAGATTCCTGTCCAAGCTGCCAAGTATCCGCAGAGTTTTCCCAAGAATGATAACAACCATCTTAATCATAGCCAATAATCAACTATGATGTATGGTGACTCGTGAAAGGCGAAAAAAAAGTGCGCCGAGCATAAAGTGGTGGGCTTGGCTAAACCCAGCCCAGCGTGCCAGGCGTTCCGAGTATCCGTTCTCAGCCATAGACAACAGCCTTTTTCGCGAGGGCTTGCGAGTTGCGAGTGGGAAAACTGAGACGTCCAGGCCAGCTCTGGGTCCGGACTGAGCTGAGCAATGCTAGTAATAAAGCCAGAAACCATTTCAATCCGTCCCGCCTGTTCATCAAACAAAAGGGACCCCCCTTCGGACGGTGGATGGAGGATGGATCGCTGTAGTGTGTTCCAAAAAGCAATGCAGGTAGGTCCATATTACCAACCGACAGTATATCACCGCCTGCCATGCGACAAACAAAACATAAACATATTTTTCAGTCTTGATGGGCTTCCTGTTGTTTTTGGTTCCCCTTTGCTCGTGACATGTTTGGAGTCATTGGAAGTGCAATGTCAAGGTACGTACTCTGTACGCATCGTCAGTCTTCAATTTCTTCACCAATTTGCTCTTGCAGGTGCCAACAGCCAACTTCCTTCTCGGACATGTTACGCAGTGTGCGGGCAGAGGGCCACCAAAAGAACCGAAGGCAGACGCTGGCAGCAGCAGCGGAACTCCACAAAAGGCGATTTCAGCCTACCTTATCCGTATCCCACGCCGAATCCATGGTTACCTTTTCTGCCCTCAATTTTCAAGCACCTTCCATGCTGTAAGCTTGGAAGGTGCACCTTGAGCTTCCGCTCTACTCAACTCATGCCCAGAAACAACAACTTTCATGATCATAACACCAAACGCTCGGGGCAAAATGGTAATCGTTCATGCGGTAATTTGAAGAGCAAGAACATCACATTCTTGTCCCAAAAGAGGCATCAACGGAACTACCTAGCCGCCAGTGGTGGATTGATCCACAGCTCCACCACTTGACGCTACTGCGCTAAAACACCTCCAAGAAGCAGGACGGCTATCCCGCACCCATACTAGGCCTACTCAAGCAAATAGTGGGTTATACGTGACTTCACGTGACTGCACCGCTAAAAAGCAGTCACATGTTGGGCCCGGGCGCGTGCCTTCCTGTTGATTCTGTTTTGACGCGTCTTTTTTGTCCAACACCTCCTTTTTCAGTCACTTTTTCAGTAGGATAAGTACCTTTTTGAGTACCAAAATATGGGCTTTAGAGAAGTATTTCTCCTGAGCAAAGACTAGCTTTTTAAGTCGTGGTTTTGATTCTGAAAAGCGCGCTGTAGAAGAGGGTAAAGTGGAAGGTATAGCAGTGGAAGGTGCAGCAGAGGAGGCTACGCCTTCCTAAGAAACTGCCGGAATAATATAGATTCCGGGTCAATTGTGGCTACTGCGGCGGTGCAGTCACGTGCAGGTGCGGGATAGCCTTCATGTGGGTGCGGAATAGCCGTCCTCCCAAGAAGAACTACCTGCACCCACGCGCATGCATGAAAACCCCCTCCATCAGCCAACCACATGTCGTCTTCACCTGCTCGCTCCTTGGTCATCCAAGCCACACACACGCACCCCTTCTCCTCTCCCATAGGTTCGTCAAAAGCTGGTGTCTGGTCGTAGGTATCTAATGGTGACTCGAGTATCCGGGAGACCACCACGCGCTAGGAGAAAACTTGTGCCCAACATAGTGTAGAGAAAAATAGATAAATAAAAAGTCATAAACTCATCATCCAACAGATTCGTCATGCTGAAGAGGTATCCATGATAGAACAAAGCAGCAAACTTTTTTTTTGGGCAACGAAACAGCATATCAAAAGTCTGCCCTCTAACCCTCCGACAGATTGAGAGAGAGAGAGAGAGAGAGAGAGAGAGAGAAATGACTGCGCAAGGAAAAGTTCGTGACTTGTGGGAATCACTAGGCCGTAGAAGATATGAAGACTGAGAAACGTCCCGGAAAATGCACATGATGTCCCCTTCGCATCCCCAGTGCTCACACAAGAGAAACCAACATATGCCCTCATCGCAGATGGCAGGAGAGATTGAGATAGAGAGAGAGACGCTTTGGCAAGAAATGATGTTTGGAAAACATGGGAGATGCGTTGGTCATGCCATTTTGCCATCGAGAAAACAACATTGGAAGAGAAAGACTCCACAAAAGCAACCCCTAGGACCTTGCAACGTTGTGGGTGCGACCGTATTCGACGCGCTCTGTTCGAGCAAAAAGCAACGCTGCGCACTCCAGCTCACGAGCTTGGGCTACGTCGTGAACTGCAGTTAGCCCTGGTACCCAGCGAACCCGTTGTTGAAGTTCTGTCCCTGGGGTCCCTGGGGCCACTGCTGGTTGGGTGGCTGTTGCCCGCGACCATAGCCTCCGGCACTCTGCGGTCCGCCGTATCCCATGGGCTGCGCTCCATAACCGGCCGGGGACTGAGCGGCTGGGCCACCGTAGTTGCCATGCTGACCTTGGTATTGACCTGATGAATAACATGTAAGCCTGGGGTTTCTTCTGCATCTCTAGCCTGTAGCTGAACACTCACCGCCGTATTGAGGAAAGTAGGCAGTCGGGGTACCGGGGTAACCTCCGGGTCCGGAAGCGGCGCTTTGCGGGCTGTACGCCTGCTGCGAGGGGTCGAAGCCGGCGGCGGCGCCGCCCTGAGGGTTCGGGGTCTTGTCCTTGCCCCACTTCGCACAGGAAAAAGTCAGTGCGTATTCTCCAGCAATTGGCTTTGGGGTAAACTCACACTGCACTTCAAGGGGCGTCCATTAACATTATAGCCGTTCATCTGGCAGATTGCCATAGCCGCGCTCTCGTGGCTATCCATCTTAATGAATGCAAATCCTCGGTCCGCCTGGAATCGAGACTCAACCACAAAGCCAAAGTTTTGGAACAGGGGGACAACGTCGTTTGGCGTGGTGTAAGGAGTCAAGTTGCCAACATAGCACGTCGTTTGCCACGACGGCGTCTGGGCAAGAACAACCTCGTAGCTGGCGACACCATGAGCTGGGAACTGGTGGTGGCCAAAAGGTGTCGTGGGCGTCAGGCCCATAGCCTGCATCGCCTGCTGCTGCGCAATAGACGGCTGACCCTTTTGGTTTGCCCAGTTGCAGCGGATGGCGCGTGAGCCAAGCCACTCCCCATCCATGGAGCTGAGTGCCTTCTCGGCGTCCGGGCGGTCCCTGAAAGCGACGAAACCGTATCCACGAGATCGGCCAGTCTTCATGTCCCACATGACACGAGCTTCGGATACGGAGCCAAAGGCAGAGAACGCCTGGGTCAGAACCTCGTCGTTGACTTCGTTGCTAAGGTCGCCAACGAAGATGTGGAAGTGGTTGGAGGTGTCCTCCTTGCTTGAGGTGTTGGACTGGTAAGCCCAATTGACGCGGATTTCCTAACAAATTGTCAACTTCGATTCGCAACATCAGAGGAAGGTTCTCGTACGGATTGGTGCACACGTCTTCCATTCAAGGTCTGCATAGCGCGCTCGGCCGCACCGGGATCATCGTACTCAACGAATCCATAGTTGTAGCCCTTAGCCTGTCGATACACGGTCAGCTATATCGTGGATCACATGGACATGTAGATACCAATAGCATCCTCATGGAAAGTTTTATATGGCAACAGTATACGCACATTCTTGTCGGGGATGATCTTGACATTCTGAACGTGACCAGTAGTCTCGAAGATCTGACGCAAGACATCCTCGGTAACACGTTGATCCAAGCCTCCGACGTACAGCGCCCGCTTGTTAGGTTCGGGAGCAGCACGGCGGCCGAATCCCCCAGCGCTACCGGGCGACATAACCTTATCGACACCAGACATGGGCGAGGTAATGGCGGTCGGAATCGGGTTGTTGTTCTGCGGAATATGGAGGGGAGGCGGGGGCATGTGCGCCGGGTTTGACTGGCCATTCTGGCCGTTCTCGTAGCCTGGAGCTCCAGCATTCGGCTGGGGAGGAGGGGGCAGCTGCGCAGCGTTCGAAGCAGGTCCGTTGTCCGCCATTGCGTCGGTTATTGGTACTAGGAGTCGATTGTGTGACGAGTGGATTTCGAAACTTGAGAATTCGTCGACTGCTAATGACGATATGAGAGACAGCGTGGCAGGTAGCTAGACCAATATAGCTCTAGACTTTGCTTGCAAGATGCGACGCTCGACTAAGATTGTCTTAGAACGGTAGCGAGGTTCGAGAAGCAACCGACTGCTTGGAGCTTGTTGATTGTGGCGTGAGTAGAAGTGTGGGAGGAAGTAGTACTGAAAACTTGTCCCGAGACTGACGTGACCCTAGAAGCTCACAGCAAAGCAAGCAAGCAAGCGAGCAACGAGGCTAAAAGAGCGGGAAGCGGGAGGCGGGGAGAGTGCGCGCGCGCGCGAGAGAGAATAAGTATGAGAGAGGGAAAAAAGTGGCGGACACAATTAGGATGTCTTAGCCGAGGGCGGCTAGGACGATGTCGAGTCTTTTTTTTTTCCTTGGATCTGTTCTTTGCGATCTATCGGTAGAGGCAGTCGAAGTCGAGAATGGAACGATGTGACTTGACCTTGGAAGAGGAAGGCAACGAACCGAAAGTCGACAGGAAAAATTGTGGACGTGGAGACGGTACTGGCAGGCAAAATGGACGTCGACCCAACGTGACAAGAGAGACGCTTGAGCGGATAGAGAGACAAGGGGAAGGGCGAATGATAAGAGAGATGCCGAGAGAAGCTCCAAAGTAGTGTACTGTGCAGTGCTGTAGATGAGATGACAGGAGACTCGAAATGATAAGCGGAGGCGAGCACCAAGGAAACAGGCGTGAAAAGAGGACTGGAACCCCCTGAAAGGAATCACAACA